ACGAAGAAGAGTAAGAGGAGGAAGAGGAGAAAAGAAGTAGAAGGAAAAGAAGAAAGTGCGATGATGATGATGATGAGGACACGAGAATGAGAGGAGAAGAGAAGGAGGAAGTAGAAGGAGAGAAGAAGTGTTACGATGATGATGGTGATGAGGACGAGGAAGGAGAGGATAGAAGAAGATGGAAATGAAGAGAAGAATTATTTACGATGATGATGGTGATGAGGACGAGGGAAGGAGAGGATAGAAGAAGATGGAAGTAGAAGGAGAGAAGAAGTGTACGATGATGATGGTGATGAGGACGAGGAAGGAGAGGAGGTAGGAAGAAATAGAAGGAGAGAAGAAGTGTACGATGATGATGGTGTTGAGAGGACGAAGGAAAAGAGAGAAGAGTAGGGCAAAGGAAAATAGAGAGGAGGGAGAGGAGAAAAAGTTAAGCAGGAGGGTAGAAGGGTGATGAAGCGAATAGTTTGAGAAAGAAGGATTGGGGATGAGGAGAAGAAGAGGAGAAGATGACGAAGGAGGGTGGATGAGAGAGAAGAGGAGAGAAGGAGGAGAGAGGAGGGGGAGGAGAAAGGATGGAGTAAGGAGAAACGTGTGATAATGAAGGTCGAAGAGGAAGGAGAGAGAGAGTAAATAAAAAGAAAATATCCAATAAAAAAGAAGAAGAAAAAAGAAAGAACAAGATACATAAGAAGAAAATGAACAGAGTTATTGTAAGCCGCCAAACAGCCATAACAGACAGCTTCCAGCGATCAGCCGCAAAAAATCCCCCAAACAGGCAACACCAGCGATCAGCCGCCAAATACAGCCCCCAACAGACGGCTTCCAGCCGACAAAAGACTGCCCCCAACAGACAGCTTCCATCAATCAGCCGCCAAAAGGGATCCCCCCAACGGAGCCTTCCAGCGATCTGCGCAAACAGCCCCAACAGACCACCTTCCAGCAGTCAGCAGCCAAAAAGACAGCCACCAACAGACGGCTTCCAGACAGTCAGCAGCGAAAAGGAGCAGTCCGCAAAAGACAGCCTCCAGCGTCCAGCAGCCAAAAGACCGCGACCAAAAAGACAGCCTCCAACAGTAGACGCCATTACCACCACACTACGACACCTACCACCCTCACACCACCACCCTCACAGCCGCTCACCACCACCCTCCACCTTCACCACCACCCTCCACCACCCTCACCACCACCCTCTCACCACCCTCACCACCACCCTCACAGCCCTCACCACCATTTACCACCCTCACCACTACTCCCTACCCTCCACCTACCCTCACCACCCTCACCACCACCCTCACCACCCTCACCACCACCCTCCACCACCCTCCCACCACCACCCTCACCACCCTCCACCACCACACCCTCCCCACCACCCTCACCACCACCCTCACAGCCCCTCCACCACCACCCACTTACCACCCTCCACCACTACTCCCACCACCCTCACCACCTCCTCACCACCCTCCTACCACCCTAATACCACCCTTACCACTACCACCACCTCCACCACCACCACTCCCACACCCATTGCCACCACCACCACCACTACCACCACCCCCATCACCACCACCACCTCACCCACCACCACCACCCCTCACCACCACCACCACGACTGTCATCACCACCACCACCTCACTACCCTCCCACCACCACTCCTTCCACCACCACCCACTCCTTCACACCACCCGCCCACCACCACCACCACCCACCACTTCAGCCACAACCAATCCTACCACCACCACCACCACCCTTATCACCACAACTACCCTCACCACCACCACCACCACCATCACCACCACCACCACCACCACCTCCCACTCCCTACCAACATAATCACCACCACCACAACCACCACCACCATTCTACTACCACCACTCCCCCACCACCCTCCCACCACCACCATCGAACCACCCTCATACCACCAGCCCCACCACCCTCACCACCACCCTCACCACCACCACAACCCCACCACACCACTCCCACCACAACCACCACCACTCCCACCACAACCACCACCACCACTCCCACTACAACCACTCCTACTACCACCACCACCCTTCTCACCACCTACCTTCACCACCACCACCACAGCCATCACCACCACCACCACCACCAATCTCACCTGCCCCCACTCACCACCAACAACACCACTATCTTACACTACCCACAGCCACATCCACCATTCCACCACCACCATTCCCACCACCACCATTCCCTACCTACCACCAGCACCACCCTCACCACCACAACAATCACCACCCTCGCCACCCATGACCCCACCACCCTCACCACCACCCTCACCACCACCACACCATCACCCTCACCACCACCCTCACAACCCTCGCCACGACCCTCACCACCAACCTCCTACCATCCTCCACTACCACCACCCTCACCACCACCACCCTCCTACCACCTCACCACCACCCTCCCTACCACCACCCTCACCACACCCCTCCACCATCACCACCACCACCACCACCACCCTCACCACACCCCACCCACAACACCACTACCACCAAGCCCATCACCATCATACCACCATCACCACCACCACCAACCTTCCTATAGCACCACCACCGACCACTCCCACCAACAGCACCATAACCACCCTCACCTACCTTCAGCACCACCACAACCACCACCCTCATTACCACCACCAATCACACCACCACCCACCAGCCCCACATCACCACCACCACCACCACCACCACCATTCCCACCATCACCGCTCCACCACCACCGCCACCAGTCCCCACCACCACCACTTCCGTCTACAATCACCACCACCACCACCACCCCACCACCACCACCGCGCCCTACCCTCACCACCCACCACCCTCATCACCACCACCACCATCACCCTCATCACCACCACCACCTTACCACCACCACTCCCACCACCACCACCCCCCCATCACCCCATCACCACCGCCCACCACCCTCACCACCACCACCCCCAACACCACCACAGCGAGACTTGAGCTGTGTATTAGTATGTGAGTCAGGGGAGTTCTTTGCCTTCATGAATCTCTGTGTTACAAGGCTCCTAAAACTTCTCCTTCCTACCTTAACAACAACCTGGAGTGACACACGAAGAAGAGTAAGAAAGGAGGAAGAGGAGAAAGAAAATGAAAGGAAAGAAGAAAGAGTGCGATGATGATGATGGTGAGGGACGAGGAATGAGAGAGAAGAAGGAGGAAGTAGAAGGAGAGAAAGTGTACGATGATTGATGGTGATGTGAGAACTGAAGAGAGAGGATAGAAGAAGATGAGTAGAAGGAGAGAAGAAGTGTACGATGATGATGGTGATGAGGACGAAGGAAAGGAGAGGATAGAGATGGAAGTAGAAGGAGAGAAGAAGTGTGCGATGATGGTGGTGAGGACGAGGAAGGAGAGGAGAGGGTAGGAAGAAATGAAGGAGAGAAGAAGTGTACGATGATGATGGTGTTGAGGACGAGAAAGGAGAGAGAAGAGAAAGAGTAGGGCAAGGAAAATGAGGAGAGGAGGGAGGGAGAAGAGTTAAGCAGGAAGAGGAGTAGAGAAAGATGATGAAGCGAATAGTTTGAGAAGAAGGATTAGGGGATAAGGGAAGAAGAAGAGGAGAAGATGACGAAGGAGGAGGGGTGGATGAGGAGAGAAGAGGAGAGAAGGAGGAGAAGAGGAGGGAGGAGAAGGATGGAGTAAGGAAAACGTGTGATAATGAAGGTCGAAGAGGAAGAGAGGAGAGGGAGTAAATAAAGAAAATATCAATAAAAAGAAAGAAGAAAAGAAGAACAAGATACATAAGAAAATAGACAGAGTTATTATGGCCGCCAAAAAACAGCCGCAACAGACAGCGTCAGCCGGTCAGCCGCCAAAAAATCCCCAAACGAATTGGCTTCCGGCGATCAGCCGCCAAAATACGGCCACAACAGACAGCTTCCAGCAGTCAGCCGACAAAGACTGCCCCCAACAGACAGCTTCCATCAATCAGCCGCCAAAAAGAAATCCCCAACAGATAGCTTCAGCAGTCTGCCGCAAACAGCCCCAGCAGACACCTTCCAGCGGTCAGCAGCAAGGAGCAGCCACCAACAACAGCTTCCAGACAGTCAGCAGCGAAAAAGACAGTCGCAGGCGGCCTCCAGCGGTCAGCAGCCAAAAGACCGCGACCAAAAGATGGCCTCCAGCTTCGTGGACGCCATACCACCACTGCGACACCTACCACCCTCACCACCACCCTCACAGCGCTCACCACCACCCTCACCATCCTCACCTGCCTCACCGCCCTCCCACCACCACCCTCCCACCACCCTTACCACCACCCTCCCTGGCCCTACACCACACTTACCACCCTCACCACTACTCCCACCACCCTCACACCACTCTCACCACCCTCACCACCACCCTCCCCACCACCCTCACCACCACCCTCCCACAGCCCTCCACCACCACCTTACCCACCCTCCACCCTACTCCCACCACCTCTACCCTCTCACCACCCTCACCACCCCACCCTCACCACCCCTCCACCACCACCCCTCCCACAGCCCTCACCACCCACCTTACCACCCTCACCCACCACTCTCACCACCCTCACCACCACCCCTCCCCACCCACCCCTCACCACCACCCTCACAGCCCTCACCACCACACTTACCACCCTCACCACCTACTCCCCACCACCCTCCCCACCCTCTCACCCTCACCACCACCCTCCCCACCACCCTCACCCACCCCTCCCCCAGCCCTCCTACCACACTTACACCCCAGCTACCACCACCACCACTACCACCACCCCTCCTACCACCACCACCACCAATCTCACCACCACCCTCCACCACCAATAACACCACTATCACCCACCTACCACAAACATCCACCATTCCCCACCACCACCATTCCCACCACCATTCCCACCACCACCACCACCAGCACCACCCTCACCACCACAACAATCACCACCCTCGCCACCCCGCCGACCCCACCCTCTACCACCCCTCACCACCACCACCACCATCACCCTCCACCACCACCCTCCCACAACCCTCGCCACGACCCTCTACCAACCTCACCACCATCCTCCTACAATACCCTCCACCACCACCACCCTCACCACCACCCTCACTATCACCACCCTCACCACCCTCCCACCACCACCACCACCACCACCACCACCCTCACCACCCCCACCCACAACACCACTACCACCAAATACCCATCACCATCATACCACCATCACCACCACCACCAACACTCCTACCAACACCACCACACGACCACTCCCTGCCTGCCATGGCCACCCTCCCACCACCTTCAGCACCACCACAACCACCGCCTCATTACCACCACCATCACCACCACCACCCTGTTATCACCACCACCACCCTCCACCACCACCATTCCCACCATCACCATCACCACCACACATATGGTCACACCACACTTTCGTCACCACAATCACCACCACCACCACCACCCGACCACCACCACCGCCCACCACCCTCACCACCACCCTCATCACCACCACCACCATCACCCCTCATCACCACCACCACCTTACCACCACCACCACTCCACCACCACCACCACCCCCATCACCCCATCACCACCCGCCCCACCCTCACCACCACCACCCCCAACTTACCATCACGAGACTTGAGCTGTGTGGTATGTGTGTGAGTCAGGGAAGTTCTTTTGCCTTCATGAATCTTAATACAGGCTCTAAAAACTTCTCCTTCCTATAACAACAACCTGAGTGACACACGAAGAAGAGTAAGAGGAGGAAGAGGAGAAGAAGAAATAAAAGGAAAGAAGTGTGCGACGATGATGGTGACTGAGGACTGAGAAGGAGAGGATAGAAAAGAAAAGAAAGAGGAAGTGAAAGGAAAAGTGTGCGATGATTATGGTGATGACGAGGAAGGAGACGAGAGGATGGGAAGAAGTACAAGGAGAGAAGAAGTGTGCGATGATGATGGTGATGAGACGAGGAAGGAGAGGAGAGAGGAGTAGGAAGAAGTGAAGGAAACAAAAAGTGTGCGATGATGATGGTGATGAGACGAAAAGGAAGAGAGGAGAGGGTAGGAACAAGTAAGAGAGAAACAAGAGAGTGTACGATGATGATGGTGATGAGGACGAAGGGAAGGAGAGGAAGGGCAGGAACAAATGAGAAGGAAGCAAAGTGTTACGATGATGATGGTGATGGGGACGACGAACGAGACGTGAGGAGTAGGAAAGAAGAAATGAAAGGAGAGAAGAGTGTGCGATGATGATGGTGATGAGGACAAGGAAGGAGAGGAGAGGAGTAGGAAGAGAAATGAAGGAAACGAAGAAGTGTACGATTGTCATGGTTTTGGGGGTGGATCGGTTAATAATATAAGAGTGGATATATTATATAAAGATAATAATATGTCGTATTTCTTATTTCTTACCGTAGAGTCCGATACCTTCACACTGATTACTTATAGGAGATTATAGCGTATCTACGTGAAGTTCACTCCACCACTCGACATTCCGCCGGTTGCTACTTGATAAATGATGAAGTTTAATAAGAATTCATTTAATTTTTCAACATCCATCTAAGTTGTTAGTTTATACTATGTCGCCAGTGATCGTACTATTTAGTAATAATAAGATAGGATCTGAATGCGGGCAGATAATTGCACCCATTTATTTGTCAAGCTTCCATACAATGATTTACAATTTGCATGGATATATGAGTTTACTCACGTTCACGCTGTAATACTATAATTAATCTTCTAAAACGGGAATTTTTCAACTTGAGAGGACACGTAGTTGCTCTACTATGGTGGGACTTAACAGAGCCTTAATTCTTCAAGTGATACATTTACTGCCAGCCTGGATGCTTTTGTTGCAACCAGGCTTCATCTAGAACTTCTTCCTGACCCTCTTTTAACAAAAAGGTACTCTTGGGTTTTTACATAGTCTCGCGTCACTGACGATCCTTGTGGACGGTTGTCGCGGCTTAAATGGGGCTTAGTAGCGTGACTTGGATGCTCCATTAGGTGCAATAGACCAGCCTGGATTGCTTTTGTCGCAACCAGGCTTCCACACCGTGATATTTCACGGGATAACAAGCCTAGGTTAACACACTTAGTCTCGTGTCGTCACGGTCACGGTAGACAGGTGTCGTGCAGAGGAAAGAACTCTGTAGCGTGAGATTAATTAACCGTTGCTGTGGACATTGGGCCGACCTGGATTGCTCTTTGTCGCAACCAGGCATCCACGCATCGATATTTCACGGGGATAACAGAAACCTAGGTTAACTGCAGCTTAGTCTCATTAATGGCGACGGTTCACAGGACGGAGTGTGGTGGAGGACTTCTGTGTGGTGTGGTGTCCACTTCCCCCCTTCAGGAGGGAGAGAATGGAACGCGTCTATTCATTGCTTGCTCAGGGAATCTCTACCCAAAATATGGGTTTTGGGTGAGCGGAAGCGATGAACAGTACAACACTGTTTCTGCCCACTAAAAAGTGGCTAACATACACTAATGGAAAAATACATGTCCCTGTCTCTGGTAAAACAAACTTTGGAGTTGGTTGCGTGGGAAGAAGTAGAAGGAGAGAAGAAGTGTACGATGATGATGGTGTTGAGGACGAGAAAGGAGAGGAGAAGAGTAGGGTAAAGGAAAATAGAGGAGAGGAGAGGAGAGGAGAGGAGAGGAGAGGAGAGGAGAAGAAGTTAAGGAGGAAAAAGGGTAGAAAAAGATGATGAAGCGAATAGGTTGAAAAGAGGGTTGGAGGATAAGGAAGAAGAAGAAGAGGATAAGATGACGAAGGAGAGGGTGGATGAGAGAGAAGAGGAGAGAAGGAGGAGAGGAGGAGAGAAGGATGGAGTGAGGAGAAACCATGTGATAATGAAGATCGAAGAGGAAGGAAAGTAGAGAAGTAAATAAAGAAAATATCAATAAAGAAGAAGAAAAAGAAAAGAAGAACAAGATACATAAGAAAAAGAACAGAGTTATTGTAATCCGCCAAAAAACAGCCACCAACAGACAGCTTCCAGCAGTCAGCCGCCAAAAGAAATCCCCTCAACAGACAGCTTCCAGCAGTCAGCCGACAAAAGACAGCCCCAACAGACAGCTCCCATCAATCAGCCGCCAAAAGACAGCCCTCAACAGGCTGCTTCCAGCAGTCAGCCGACAAAAGACAGCCCCAATAGACAGCTTCCAGGAGTAAGACGCCATTACCACCACTACCACCTACCACCCTCACCACCACCCTCAATATCACCCTTACCGAGACCACAACCACCACCACAACCACCACCACCTTCACCACCACCACTCCCACCACCACCACTCCTACCACCACCCCTTACCACCACACCACCACCACCACCCTCCCACCACAACCAATCCTACCACCACCACCACCCCTTATCACCACCACCACCCTCAGCACCATCACCACCACCATCACCACCACCACCACACCACCTCCCTCCCACACCACCACCGACACACCCACCACCACCACCACCACAACCACCACCACCATTCCCACCACACACCACTCTCCACCACAATCACCACCACCATCAGACCACCCTCCACCTAACCCCACCACCCTCACCACCACCACAACCACCACCACCACTTACACCACACCACCACTCCCCACCACCAACCACTCCTACCACCACCACCACCCTTCTCACCACCACCACCCTCACCACCACCACCACCCTCACCACCACCACCCTCACCACCCTCACTCCCTTCAGCCCCACCACCCTCACCACCACCCTCCCACCACCACCATCACCACCACAATCCCTACACCACCCACCCACCCCTCTGCTTCCTATCACCATCACCACCACCACCATTCTCACCACCACCACCACCCCCACACCACCACCACCACCACCACCTACCACCACCACCCCTCACCTCGCCACCGCCAACCCCACCACCCTCACCACCACCCTCACCAACACCACACCACCCCCCACTCACCACCACCCTCCTGCCCTCATACCACGCTCAGCACCACCTTCACCACCACCCTCACCACCACCACCACCACCATCACACCACCACACCACCACCAATCCCACCACCACCCTCCCACCACCAACACCACCACCACCCTCACTACACCACCACCCTCACCACCCTCCTGCCACCCTCACCATCCTCCACACCACCACCACCACCCTCACACCTCTCACAACACCACTGCCCGCCAACCCCATCACCATCATACCATCACCACCACATAACCGCCTACCACCACCACCACGACCCTCCCACCACCCGCCAACACCCCTCCACCACCACCCACCTTCAGCACCACCACAACCACCACCATCATTACCTCACCACCCACCACACCCTGCCCATCCACCACCACCACCACCACCACTCACCATCATCGCTCCCACCACCACCACCACCACCACCACCCACCACCACCACCACACGCCCACCACCCTCTCACCACTCCCACCACCCCTACCACCCCCCATCACCCCCCATCACCCCACCCCCCATCACCCTATCACCACCACCACCACCACCTTACCACCCCACCACCACTCCCACCACCACCACCACCCCCATCACCCCATCACCACCACGCCCACCACCCTCACCACCACCACCCCCAACACCACTACGAGACTTGAGCTGTGTATTAGTATGTGAGTCGGGAAGTTCTTTTGCCTTCATGAATCTTAATGTTACAAGGCTCTAAAAACTTCTCCTTCCTACCTTAACAACAACCTGAGTGACACACGAAGAAGAGTAAGAGGAGGAAGAGGAGAAGAAGGAAGTAAAAGGAAAGAAGAAGTGTGCGATGATGATGGTGATGAGCACGAGAAAGGAGAGGAGAGGAGAAGGAGGAAGTAGAAGGAGAGAAGAAGTGTACGATGATGATGGTGGGAGAACGATGAAAGAGAGGCGAATAGTTAGGGTAAAGGAAAATAGAGGAGAGGAGAGGAGAGGAGAGGAGAGGAGAGGAGAGGAGAAGAAGATACGGAGGAAGAGGAGTAGAGAAAGATGAAGAAGAGAAAATGTTGAGATAGAAGGATTAGAGGAGGAGGAAGAAGAGCAGAAGATGACGAGGGAGAGGGTGGATGAGAGAGAAGAGGAGAGAAGGTGGAGGAGAGAAGAGGAGGAAAGAAGGATGAAGTAAGGAGAAACGTATGATAATGAAGGTCGAAGAGGAAGGAGAGGAGAGGAAGTATATAAAGAAAAATAAAAAAAAGGAGAAGAAGAAAAGAAGAACAAGATACATAAGAAAAAGAATAAATTTATTGCAAGCCGCCAAAAAAACAGCCACCGACAGACAGCTTCCAACAGTTAGTTGCCGAAAGACAGCCCCCAACAGACATCCTCCAGCAGTCAGCCGACAAAAGACAGCCATTAAGAGACAGTCCCCAAAAGACAGCCACCAACAAACAGCTTCCACCAGACAATCTCCAGCAGAGAGGCGCTAAGAGACAGCCGCCAAAAGACATAAGAACATAAGAATGGAGGAAACTGCAGCGGGCCTATTGGCCCATACTGGGCAGTCCCATTTACACCCAGCCCCTATTGCTCATATATCCATCCAACCTAAGTTTGAAGCCCCCAACAGACAGTCTCCAGCAGTCAGCCGTCAAAAGACAGCCACCAACAGATAGCCGCTAAGAGACAGCCGCCAAAAGACAGCGACCAACAGACAGCCGCCAGCAGACAGCCTCCATCAGAGAGCCGCCATCAAACCGCCGCCATTAGACAGCCACCAGCAGATAGCCTACAGCAGATAACCCCCAACAGGCAATCTGTAACAGACAGCTGCCAACAGACAGCCTCCAGCTGAAGGAATCCAACAGGTAGCCGCCAGCGGACAGCCGCCAACAGACAGCCTGTCGCGATCCCACTACCCTTTATACCTGGGGAGTGAAACCTACCCCAAGTTATTAACAAATAAAGGAACAAATAGGGAACACGGCAATAATTATCCCCACAAAAACCTACTCAACTAAATGTTCTTGAATAAGTATGAACAAGTTGAAATAAGTAAGTCACAAAAGGGAAGATAATTAATTAATTCAATTTATGTTCTAAAGGGAGTAATGACTAGCAAACATGAATTTAAGGGAATAAGTAATTGTATAATAAAATAAGGGTGATGCCAGAAGGGCGAAAATATACCGTAAAGAGTTAGACCAAACGAATATTACTTAACATAACTATATTACATAGACATACAATATATATACAATCCCTACAAAATAGTTATTTCCTACCAAACAGGAGATTCCTTACCACCAGGATCCCTTCCTAGGCCTAACTAAACGTGTCACTAATACCTGATACCCCTAGGGCATTGCAGAAGACTGGACAAGGCACTAGACAAGGGTCAAGGCTAGAGAACGAATGGACACGTCTACCATATGCCACGGTTTTTCGCAACTGAGGAAGCGTGGGGCACGCCGTGGAGGAGAGCGTCTCATATCACGTGATCCAGGACATTTGCTGGATAGTTTATATAATTAATTAATACTACTCTTGATTTGACTTAACAGAGTAAGACAATGATGCATATTAATAACATACATAAATATACAATTAACCTAAGTAACTAAGAACAATAATAATATAATAAGTACAATTAACAAGTTAATAGCTTGTGTGAAATGTAGGCGTGAACATATGCCTCACGCTATGCGAGTTCCCGAGCGCTGAGGCACGTGACACAGCCGTCAACAGACAGCTGCCACAACAGCCTCCAAACTGACAGCCGCCAACAGACAGCCTCCAACTGACAGCCTTTGGAAGACAGCCCCAAACAGACAACGTTTAACAGACAGCCTACAACAGACAATCGCCATCAGACAGCCTAATAGACAGCCTTTGGTAGACAGCCTTTGGTAGACAGCCGCCAACAGACAGCCACTAACATCCACCACCAATCAGTCGCCACCAGACAGCCGCCAACACATAGCATCCAACAGACAGCCGCCAGCAGACAGCCGCCAGCAGACAGCAGTCACCAGACAGTCGCCACCAGACAGTCGTAACCAGACAGCCGCCAACAGACAGCCGCCAATAGACAGCCTCCACCAGACAACGGCCACCAGACAGCCGCCACTAGACAGTCGCCACCAGACAGCCGCCACCAGACAGTCGCCGCCAGACCCGCCACCAGACAGTCGCTATTAGACAGCCGCCACCAGCCGCCACCAGACAGCCGCCACCAGACAACCGCCACCAGCCATCAGACCAAACAACAGCCACCAGACTGCAGCCACTACAGCCGTCACCAACAACAACCACCAGACGGCAGCCACTGCAATACCAGACAGCCACCATCAGACAGCCACCACCAGACCGCCGTCACCAGACAGCAACCAGCACAGCCACCACACACCAGCCACCAGACCACCAGCCACCAGACACCAGCACCAGACAGCTAGCCACAGACACAGCCACCAGCCACAGACAGCCACCACCAGACACCACACCCAGCCACCAGACAGCCACCACCAGACACCAGCCACCAGACACTAGCCACCAGACAGCCACCACAGACACCAGCCACCACACTAGCCACCAGACACTAGCCACCAGACAGCCGCCACCAGACACTAGCCACCAGACCACCAGACAGCCACCACCAGACACCAGCCACCAGACACCAGCCACCAGACAGCCACCACCAGACACCAGCCACCAGCCGCCACCAGACACTAGCCACCAGACACAGCCACCAGACAGCCGCCACCAGACAGCCGTCACCAGACAGCAACCACCAGACAGCCGCCACCAGACCAGCCACCAGACACCAGCCACCAGCCACCAGACACCAGCCACCAGACCACCAGCACACCAGCACAGACCACCAGACCACCACCAGACACTAGCCACCAGACACTAGCCACCAGACAGCCGCCACCAGACAGCCGTCACCAGACAGCAACCACCAGACAGCCGCCACCAGACAACAGCCACCAGACACCAGCCACCAGCCACCAGACACCAGCCACCAGACAGACGCCCACCAGACAGACGCCACCAGACAGCAGCCACCAGACAGCTGTTACCATACAGCCACCACCAGACACTAGCCACCAGACTGCCGCCACTAGACAAACGCCACCAGACAGCAGCCACCAGACAGCAGTTACCAGACAGCAGCTTATCGACAACCGCCACCAGACAGCCGCTACAACATGCAAAGAAAATGTCGCCGCCTCCTCTTAAAACTGACCGCTTGAGAAATTTCCATTTACTCTACGTCTTACCAGATGACCATGTGTGTGTGTGTGTGTGTGTGTGATGTCAGTAACATCTCACATGAAAAGACTCGAGAAACGTTAAATCTTGCTGGAGGCGGAAGTTAAAAGTCTTGTTATGGCGGAAGTTACCAGGACGAACCAGAGAAGGAACTAGAGGTAAGGGAAAAGATGGAATATATAGCTCTAGGTAAACACTGATGATGTGGTGTGGGAGGGTGGGAGGGTAGGTGGGTGGGTGATGGAGAGGGTTAAGTGGGAGATAAAAGAGATATGGATGAGATGGTGGAAATGGGAAGGGAAAGGAAGAAATCAAATCGAGAAAATATGGGTAAAGTTTGGATAATAGATATTATGTAATTAAGAATTTCGTTTTTAGTAAAGTTGGGATAAGTGTTGAGAGAAAAAAAATGAAGAAGATAATGAAGGAATGAAGTCAAAAGAAACGGTTCGCAGCATAAAAGTTGACATAGGAAAGGGACGGAAGAGAAAGATGAAGGAATGAAGAAAAACAAAGTTAAAGTTTAGATAATTGAGAATAAATAGAAAGAACGAAAAGAATGAAAAATAATGTTAAACAAAGCTGAAAGAAAATGTGAAAAATGAAAAGAAACATTAGGAGTGAATTTGAGATAACAATGAAAGAATACAATAAAATCAAAAGAACAACAGAAGAGGAAGAGAGATTAAAGTCAAGAAAGAAGAGAGGAATGAAAGAAAGACCAAACAAAAATAATTATGTACAAAAATTTGAAAAACATAAAGGCTATCTCTGACGTCATATAGCAATCGATGACATTATACCGGGTCGTTTGGTGGACGTCGTGTGTGAATCGGGGAACATCCACTGTACATTCCTAATGTGGCCGTCGACACGGGTGAGATAAACTATTTCCACCTTGCCCGTCTGTATGGTGTTGAAGTTATAAAAAAAAATTAATTTAAATTTAGTCAATTAATGAGATTCAGCTTAAAATATATGCATAGTAAATATTCATATTGAATATTAAAAAAACGTCAATACAATGATAATACAGTTTACAGACAATGAAGGTGCGGCACCGTAGCACAGAAGACATGTTTTCTGCAGTATTATTGTCTTCCCGAAGGTGATATTCATTTTCTGTGGAAGTGAGTTTTAACTCAATCTAACCTTAATGAATAATAATATAATACCTAAATAAAAAAATAAATGAACCAGACTATCTGCTTCTTCCTCTCCATTAGTAGACTCTTCGCTACTACCTTCACTATGGGGACGTCACCTTTAATATTTTATTTGGTAGCAATAAACTAGTTTATTCACCAGTTTATTCAATACGTAATGAGCTCTCAAATACTGTAGTAATTACCGCCATCATTCTCGTCTCCTAGCTGGGCCTCGGGTGTACCTGTGAGGAAGAAGGTACAGGGGAGGTTATCATCTCCCATGTTTGTTTACATATTTATTCTCCGTCTGTACGTACCACCGTTTTCCCGACGTCATCGATGGCTATAATACGTTAGAACGGGCCAGTGTGAGCCGGACTTAATACTACCTTTGGGTTACGTTACGTTACGTTAGCCTAGGTTAGATTAGGTTAGTTTTTTTTACGAGATTAGCTCACCAGGCACAAGTCAATGACCCACATCAGGGCCTGGGGGCGAAAATATAATAATAATAATAATAATAATAATAATAATAATAATAATAATAATAATAATAATAATAATAATAATAATAATAATAATAATAATAATAATAATAATAATAATAATATAATTATTATTATTATTATTATTATTATTATTATTATTATTATTATTATTATTAATAAAGGACCATAAATAAATACAAATTAAAAAAAATCAATAGTCAGAAACTATATATGTACAGTATGCTGTGTTGTTAAACCAAGAGAAACAATTGAAACCTGCAATTGAGTGTAAATGAGGCAGAAAGTCAGATCAGCAACCTGGGACTTGGTCACAATTTTTGTGATGCCATATGGCAGCAGACAATACATTATTCTTCAAATATCATTCCCAGGCGGTAATACCTCCCTGATTGATAGCTGCCTACTACCTGGTTAGGTTAGGTTAGAAACACAAAGATGGACAAACCAGAGATAGAAAAAAGACCCAGGCAAATAAACAAAAGAGATAGAAACAGACAGTATCACACAATAGCTAAAAGAAAAAAAAAGACGGAAACAGAGAGACTTAGACAACGAGACAGAGACACACAGACACACCAAAAGAAGTGTGAAAGAGAAAGTCATCATACACTCAATAAAAGATAATGGCAGTGAGTTGAACGTATCAGTGTGACTTATCCTCAGTCGTTCTTGAGATGAGACAAGATAACTCAAAGGAAAGGTTTTAGGTCAAAAGTTTGGGAAAATAACTTTATCTCTTTAATGTCTCTTGTTGGGTTGTAAATATGTTGAGAATTTTTAAGGTTAGGTAGTTGTATTAATGTGTTTAAGAGCACAATAATTTGGGGATTTGTTGTGTTACTAATTAATAACAGTAGGGAGTTTGTTGTCATAACATCACAACAGTAGGCAGCTTGTTGTCATAACCTCACAAAAGTGGGCAGTTTGTTGTCATAACTTCACAACAGAGGGCAGTTTGTTGTCATAACCTCACAACAGTGGGCAGTGTGTTGTCATAACCTCACAACAGTGGGCAGTTTGTTGTCATAACTTCACAACAGTAGGCAGCTTGTTGTAATAACCTCACAACAGTGGGCAGTTTGTTGTCATAACTTCACAACAGTGGGCAGTTTGTTGTCATAACCTCACAACAGTGGGCAGTGTGTTGTCATAACCTCACAACAGTGGGCAGTTTGTTGTCATAACTTCACAACAGTAGGCAGCTTGTTGTCATAACCTCACAAAAGTGGGCAGTTTGTTGTAATAATCTCACAACAGTGGGCAGTTTGTTGTCATAACCTCACAAAAGGAGAGAGAAAGGGTGTATTAGAAAGAGAAGGAAGAGACTGAAAGAAAGAGAAAGACAGAAAGCAGGTATATGTGTGAGAGAGAATTAGAGCAAGAGAGTGAGCGAGAGAAGGGAGACAACTTTGGTAAGATAGAAAGAAAGAAAGAAAGAAAGAAAGAATATGAGTGAGAGAAAGAGAGATGGAGAGAAAGGAAGAGTAAGAAATTAACAGAGAAAACAACAGTGAAAGATAGAGACAGGGTGAAAAAATACATAAATAAATAGAGGGAGAGACAAAGAAAAGAAAGGGAAATATATATAGGAAGGGGAAAATAAATGTAAAGAGGAAAAATAAAAGACAGAAGCATAAGAAAGTATACACAGAAGAAAATATAAAATAACAGAAAATTCCTTTCATGAAGACTTCACAATATGTAGATGATTCGGTATGGATGAAAACACCAACTACCTAATATTTTGACACGTTAATAATGCAATAATAAATGTACGAATTAAGAAAAAATAGATATGTAACGTAAATAAGAAGAGTTAGATGTTAGAAGACAGGTGAGAAATTTGATCAGGGCCTTGGAGTGATTTTTACTTGTATGTAAGACGCGGTTGAGTGGACGCACAACATTATTTATACTGTGAGGATGTGAGATCAGGAAGCAAGATTTATGAGAGATGGATGAAAGGGAAGATAAATTGGGGGTGCAGGGTGATGGATGATGAGGGAGGAAGGGTAGGAGGGAAGGAGGAGAAGATGTATGTGAGGGGGAGGGAGGGAGGGACGGGGGAGGGAGGGAAGGTAGGAAGATGGGAGGAAGGGAGGGAATGTGGGGGGGGAAGGGAGTAAAGAGAATATGTGTGTGAAAGGGGAGAAGGGGAGAAAGATGGTGGAAGGGGGAAAGGAAGGAGAGAGGGAGGAAGAAAGGAGAGAAGAAGGGTGGCAGAGGAAGAGATGCTTTTATATTAGCTCTGCTGCGGGGTGCCTAATCTTCAGGCAATCCGGCATATGATATGAAATCTTAATAATAGTGAAGACAAGTTTACATAAAAGTCGATCTAATTCTCTACAAAATGTATATATCGAATACTGTGCGAATTATATTTTTGTGGTGAGAATTGAATAAATTCGTTTTTTTTTATCGTTTCCGAGGCTAAGAGGAGAATGTTGTTGTCAACCTCAAGGGAGAGAGAGTGTCATAACTCTTGATCTTGTGTGTGTTGAGCTCAAGGACGAGGTTACTAGTTTTGTGAACTTGCAGTCCTCCGATAAGTGATATTTGAGCTTGTAATAATAATAATAATAATAATAATAATAATAATAATAATAATAATAATAATAATAATAATAATAATAATAATAATAATAATAATAATAATAATAATAATAATAATAATAATAATAATAATAATAATAATAATAATAATAATAATAATAATAATAATAATAATAATAATAATAATAAGAAGAAGAAGAAGAAGAAGAAGAAGAAGAAGAAGAAGAAGAAGAAGAAGAAGAAGAAGAAGAAGAAGAAGAAGAAGAAGAAGAAGAAGAAGAAGAAGAAGAAGAAGAAGAAGAAGAAGAAGAAGAAGAAGAAGAAGAAGAAGAAGAAGAAGAAGAAGAAGAAGAAGAAGAAGAAGAAGAAGAAGAAGAATAAACGGTTTATTAATAGAGTTGCAGCCGGTGGCTGAAAATATACAAACTTACAGTACATGTGAGTTAGACATAATGATATGCGTTCAATATATTTACAGGGCTGTACAGTACATAAATCAGGAGTTGTTTATTATTTTAACAATAGATGGGATGGTGCTATTCTGTCAGTGCGGGCTCTAATGGGCTGAATTTTGTTGTAGTGGCGGACTGCGCGAGGTGGGCGGGGGGCTGCCGGTGGCAGGAGGTGGCCATGACGAGGATGGTGCAGTAGTCCACTGCCAAACCATGCCAGTGCTTGGTGGTGGAGGTCACTGAGGGATGGCATAACCAGGGTGGAGAGAGCGTTGTTGTAGCTGGAGTAGTCTGCCCCGAGCATGATTATGCAGGCCCTTTTCTGTACCTTCTCTAGTTGACGTTGTTGGGTAGAGTTGAGAGAAGACGACCAGGCTGGTGACATATACGTTAATTTGGGGAGAATAAAGGCGTTGTAGATAGTCCTCAGCTCTGGCGTGGGTGTCCCAAGTGACCTGAGTCGTCGTAGCATGTAGAGTCGGTTCGAGGCTGCCTTGATTGTGTTGTTTACATGGGCCTTCCAGTCCAGTTTGTGGTCTATGGTAACACCCAGGAGCTTGCACTGGAGTAGTGGCTGTATTGATGTGCATGAATACGGTTTTGGTGTGGTTGATGGTGACCTTGTTCTCTGTAGTCCATGCCTGTAGCCTGTACAGGGTGCCTTGTAGCGATGAGTAGTCCGGTGAGGTGTTGTCCATTGTAACCCCCACAGTGCAGTCATCCACGTACTTCCACCGGTGAGGAGTGTGTGCTTGTGTATGTTTGTTTAGGGTGATTTTTTTATCCCCTCTTCACCCAACGTTAAGGTAAAACTTCATTTTTTTTTATATAATTTTTCCGGACTGTGTTTTGTTTTCCTCCCCCTGGTCTCAAGTATCACCTGAGAGCACACCTCCAGACCCTTGTGGGAACTGTCAAGTCTTCCAGCGCACCCCCCAGTGTTCATCCCTTCTGCAGATGCTCAAGCACTTTTGCAGGTCATGTTGATGCTGGAGATGATTTCATCCTCTCTTTCTCTCTCTCTCTCTCTCTCTGTAGTCACCAACTGGAGTCAGGGGGAAGCAATCATGAGTATTTGGCAATGTTTTTGTTAATCACTTGATGTTAATAAACAAATACAGTGGTGCCGTTTTTCCCTCTGGTGGTTGACACAGCCATTTTTTTAAACACCTGGGTACAATTTAGTAATCTGATAATATTATTGGGAAATTAGCAATAAAAGCGTTTATTGTAAGGCGTTTTAGATGCGTGAAATAGCTAACGCGTTAGCTATTCTGTCTGTGCAGACGCTTCTGCTGAGTTGTGTGCATGACACCTTAAGAGGGAAAAGCATACTCATTGATAGGCATTAGCCTCGGGTGGCACCCTAGCGGCCGGAATAGCTAACAACCAATCAGCGATTTATCCCACTGAAAATACGAGGATCATGGCCCTGGAGAATATTTTGATTAATATTGAAGAGTTGAGGGCATGTAAGGCAATAAAAAACTGTGATATAATATTACAAATAATTCTATACACGGTAGTATATTGGATAGGACCAAAAACAAAGCCTATGGCGTGAAAGAATTGAAAAGGATTGGGTCTAGTTGAAACCTGTTTTGGCTCCTCCCATATTTAAGTGGGCACTGTCCGATTTCACTAGCCGTTGGTGACTTTGGTGTAACAATATTGATAATTACTCAAATATGATTGAAACCTTAATAAGATACTAAGATAATAAGGGTGAACAAGTTTATTACAGTTCTGTAAGTGCAAAAATTAAGACATAAACGAACCTGGAATTCGTCGTATTTTGTGTACAAATATGCAAACACCTGGACGCGAGAGAAGAAGAGTACAGCTGCTCTGGTTGTTGCATATGGTTTCAGAATCCGGGAGAAATTACCTTTACAACGAGCCCATTTTTTTTATTATTCTCATTTATTGTTGACTGACTTTTTTTTTCCTTTTTTGTCTTTCTTTCCATAATTTTCTATATATTTTCTTCACTATTTCTTTCCTTATTGTGTCCAAATAACAGTTCTCCTAATTTTATTGTTTTCTGAAGACTGTGTTGTACAATGTACAACACAGTCTGCTCATTTTTCCCAATTTTAGAAAATTGTGGGTGGGGGTGTTTTTTCCCATTATTTCGTTACTCCTAAATTCATTGGTGCCAGAATTAATGACATCCAACATGTTCTAGGGGTCGCGAATCCAAATATAAAAAATGAATTTTTGCGAAAAAACGTCAAAACTCAAGCTTTTTCTCTTATAGATCAGCAATCGAGCTGCTTTTCACTACTTAACCCTAATGGCTGGCTAGAGCAGCTATTCAGCTTTCCATTGACACCTAATTCGATTGCATGCACCTCTTAGTTGACCTTCTAGTTCAGGTCAAAGGCTTTACCTGCATTAAGGGAACCAGATTCCAAAATATTCATAGTTTTGACTTTTCCATTTATTCGAAAACACATCAATATTTTGCATTCGCAGTCTTTTCTATGATATATTTCCCTCTTAAAAAAACAAACATCATTGAAATAGGTCAATAACTCTAGGAGGAGATGCAATTTGAAAGTTCAATCCCCCCTCTATTCAACTCTCACAGTTGCATCAGAGCAGACTTGCTGAAGCCACTCATCTGCTTCCTGTGCTTTTCCACAAGTTGCATGACATCCTGCAGCTGCTGCTCATCCTTCGTGACTGAACCAATGAAGTCCTGCATAAGCTTTATTCCCCTTTCGGCCACGTCATTGGTTACCTTCAGGCTTCTGGAGAAATCTTTCAGCTTCATGAACTCTTCGTTTTTCTCCCAGTCTTCCACCGGTGACATCAGCCATGCTGTGCCGCACACATGATGCTCCTTGAAGATCATCCATGAACGTTCATCTATCAGGTCGGAAAGCCGTGTAGTCTGTTGGATGACCAAGTTGTCGTTGGCGTAGTCGTTCGTTTCTTCTAGGCAGCTCAATTTGGTCGCCATCTCCTTTTTCTCTGCCGCACTCAACTTCTCGCTGCACAGCGACAGAACGACGGTCTGTGGCCTTAGATACCACAGGTGGCGGCTCGCGACCGCCAGCGCCGCATCAGCCACCTCACAGTCCACGGCCCTGTAGCGGAGGAGTTCGTGATGCAGTTGCAGGTCATTCACAGGCGCATCCTCGGCTACTGGTGATTTCAGCCACGCCGGTGTGTACAGCAGAGACACAAAGATCGCCATCCTCTGCAGCTTGACGCACAGGTCACTGCTGAGCTCTAGCTGGTGGCTAAACATGTAGATCTTGAGGTAGTATATGATCTTCGCCATCCAGCGAGCGTGGTGACATGCGCCAGGACGCAGAAAGTGCGTGCCGCGCGGAGGATTCACACCGAGGACGAGGAGCGTTAGTTCTGCCGCTTCTCGGTAATCCTCTCTGGCCCATTCTGTGACGGTCAGCAGGTAGCTAACGGTCCTGTGTCGGAGGTGACTGAGCCAGTCAGACTCTGGTAGATTTGCAATGTCCAGCCTGAGATACTGAGAGTGATCTAGTTGACTCCACCTTTTCTTAAGAGTCTGGAAGAGAGGGTCCGTAGGGGCCGATGTTTTGCCGAAGATGTTGCTGGCAGCGGCTCTCTCCACCAGTTCCATGACGTGGTGTCTGCACCCAAGCCTCAACAGCTGTTTTTCCAGCAGCGCCTCCAGATGGACAACCGCACCTTGGACTCGCCCTGTGTTGGACGACGTTGTATCAAAGCACAGTGCCTTGACGTTTGAAGCGCAGCTCCAGTCCTCGATAGCACGAGCTGTTGCGCGTGCCTGGGTCAGGCCAGTGCCGTCCTTCACTGGCAAGACAGCAAGCAGCTTCCCTTCCTCATGGCCGCGCCCTGAGATGAAGATGGCCTGTCGGTGTTCTTCTTCTCCCACGACGTTCTGAAATGAGAGAAATATAAAAATTCAGACAGATAATGAAGAATTATCAAGGCTGCCTTTTTCTCCAAGCTTTTTGTTAATGATTTGATACATTTCTAACAATATATTACAATAGTCTAGGCTTTGGTAAAATATTAATGTAGTACCTAAACGTGTTCTCACCTTAACCAGCTTACCATCCCAGTGCACCACTGCATGTGGTGGAGGCGTGAAGGCTTCCCTTTGTGCGGCAGCTACCTGACGACGGTGTGAAGCTCGCGCCCGTCTCGCAGTCTCTCTCGAGATCCGGAACTCAAACAGATCGCCTGGCGGGTTAGCAGAGCGCAGCACTGCTGCGACCACCGAAACTATCTGCGAGCAAAAGCAGGCAAGGGTGTCAGTAGAAAATGTCGACTGTTTAAGTGCTTATCAAATAATTAACAGAAATTTCAAACATTCTAAACACATTTATGGATACACTTACTTCGTTATTGGATATCCGAAGACGGTCAGCGAGTTCCTTTAATGCTGGCTCTTGGAGAATGCGACGTGGAAGCTGAACCGTCACATAAGGGTGCTTTGATGTGTACCTGCCAGGTTGTATCGCTGTGTCCTTTTTCTCCATTTCTACTTCCGTTGGGGTGTCAGCCACCACAGAGGTTTGAGGTCTCGAATCACTGCTGCTTGGTTCACAGGCTGCGAACCTTCCCTGTTTCGACCTTTGCTTCTCGACTCGTTCCTCCTGCTTTCTCTTCTTAGCGGCAAAAATCTTATCGTTACCACTCATGAACGCTTTTCTTTCTCCGCGTTGGTCTTGATAGAAGGCGATGTCTTGTTGTTTGTCGGCCGGTGTAAGCAGCCGGTTCTTCTCGATGTCCTCTACGGCGTCCGGTGCTCCGATGTCCCACAACAGGTCAAGTTGAGACTTGAAGTTTTCAACCTTGTCCTTTGCAGCCCTGTCCCGACTTTTTTGTAGACTTCTCCAGTGCTCCCATAACCTTGTCAGCTTCTCCCGGCACCCCCTCTCTGAGATAGTCTTGATGCGAGCTAAATTCCAGAACGTGAGTACGTTTCTCACTGTTTCTTTAAACGTCTCCTGTCTGTCACTAGATTCATTCACTGTGTGAAAGAAGAACTTCAGGACTTGACGCATCGTCGGGAGTTTACTGCCTCTAATTGACGATGCTGGCTGGCCTACTAGATAGATTTCAGTGGCAGAACGGGTAGTGGATGATGTTGGCCTGACAGTCCCCTTAGCATTCTCCCCCGACTGCGACTTACTCTCTTCCATGATTGTATGTATATAAACAGATGAACTCTGTAAGAAAAAAACGTTTTGTAATAAAACTAAATAGGCAAACAAAATAGGGTCACATAAGAGCAATTTAATCACCTGTAGAAAATACAACATAAATAGATAACCATAAATTTACTGCCACACTATATAGCAGATTTGAATAAATTATAAAATAACACCACAGTACCAACAACAACACAACACATGTCAAAACACTGCAAAGAAGCGCAGGGTTTTAAAGCTGCCAATGTGAACCTAGTGAATTTATAACTCCGTTAACGCAGGTAGGCTACAGCCTTTGACCTGACTTAGAAGGTCAAATAAGAGGTGCAACCAATCGAATTAAGTGTCAATGGAAAGCTGAATAGCTGCTCTAGCCAGCCATTAGGGTTAATTAGTGAAAAGCAGCGCGATTGCTGATCTATAAGAGAAAAGCTTGAGTTTTGACGTTTTTTCGCAAAAATTCATTTTTTATATTTGGATTCGCGACCCCTAGAACATGTTGGATTTCATTAATTCTGGCACCAATGAATTCAGGAGTAACAAAATAATGGGAAAAAACACCCCCACCCACAATTTTAAAAAAGTGTGAAAAAATGAGCAACCCTATTGTACATCAGTTATTCCCAAGATGCTCTACAATCTTGTATTTTTTAATGACAGTCCGGGAATAGCTAATGCGTTAGCTATTCCGTGGATCTAAAACGCCTTAAGTCTTCTGGTGTGGATAAGCGCCCGAAAGAGTTATCCCGAATGTTCAAACTAGTTATTATATATGAATATAAAAAGTCTCTGAAATACAATATATGTAAATTAAGATGAGAAAATAAAGAAAATAAATAATTAAATGTCCTTAAAGCTGGTTCCAATGGAAATGTATATATTTTTTTAAGAGACCGCCGTGTACCCCGCGATGTTTTACCTATAACTCCGTAGATTTTTCATCTACCCATCGCCCTTCTCTAATTTTATCAAGCATTGTATTCCACAATCATCCTCTTATAGCATCAAGTATGTTAAAAAACGCACTTTTCTTTGTGATAGATGGATGTAATGCCATTTCCATTTCGCCAATATATTATATAGGAAAGATATAAGATGAGCCAAATATACTTGGTAGATTGCTGAGGTAATAGTTTACAACAAGTGTCATCTGTGAGCTTGGAAAAAAATCTCCTACTATATTTCATAGTTTGTGTTGTTGTTCCGGATGTGTTTAGGTACTATCAATGTTTGCAAGTAAAGGTTAGGTTACATAAATTTTGTTTTTGAGGAAATGTTCGAAATCAGGATTGGAAAAAAGTGCCATAATTGATTAATGATGTTTTCAGTCACTCTATTTAAATCGCGTCAGTCCTATCTTACATCACTGGAACAACAATAAACAAAAGTTAAATATACTATGGACAAATTTATTAAGGAAATTCTCCGTGATAGCTATGCAACACGCTTGTTAACTATTACTAAAAGTAATTTACCTATTATACAGTACTTACCACATTATATAGATAATAGATATGAGATTTTTTTTTTTTTTTCCAGGCTGACATTATAGCATTCTAGTATGCAGAGCTAGCTGATGCTGTGAAGCTGCCAAGGATTGTTATTAGAGAGAGTCAAAATCCTTTTGCTTATCTCTCTGAGGAGAAGTTGATAGGGAGGTATAGGCCACATCTGCCAAGAGTTCAAGAGGACGAGGTAAGAAATTCTGGTGCTAATATAGCGTGCAGTCTACAATATAATTGAGTTAAGAGAGCTTTGGTTAGATTTGGTCAGGTTAGGTTAGGTTAGGTTAGGTTAGGTTAGAGATATCTTTGTTTACCGAAATTCTAAACCTTGAATTGTGGTCTTCGTTTAGTGATTTACTGTATTGGGTATTTATTGAATGCTACGCAATTGTGCCAAAAAAAAAACATAGAGGTGCGACATCACCATTGTGCAGTACTCAGCACCCATTATGACTCCTAAAACCACTTCCCATTTACAATAATACCACCAGGCCGTAATTACAGTGTAGTAATATCTCCATTAGGCAGAACGCTCCAATACTCAGAATTGAAATTGGCTTGGAATCTTTTCGGGAAACTCTCTCCATTCCGGATCTGTGAACGAGTTTTCGAGGTTGAAAATGAGGCTCATTTTGTGTTCAGGCCTGGGAACAAATTCTGGGGCTTAGTATCATGTTCATTTTCTGTAAGTTTTTTAGAAAACTTCTTGAAACTAAGTTTTCCCCGGGTCTCCGAGGATGAAAGAATGTTTAGAGTCAGAAATTTATACCAGTAATCAGAAAAATTCCTGGAATGTGCTACTTTTCAGGGTTTGAGAGAGTCATCTTGTTATCCGGAAATCGATCAGAAATCTTTCATCCTCGGAAGAGCTCTGCACCAATTATTTCGGCTAATGTGGATATCACTTGTATATTGCAGTTTATAGAGGTTCATTCTCTCAAGAAATTAGAATGTAAAGCAGTAATGTATATCATCATAGGAACCCTGTTATTTACCACACTCAGTATGTGCAATGTTAAACAAAACAGTAAATTAACTTTTTTTTCTATCCTACAGGATGCAATATTCCAGCATACCTACAACTCCTAACTGCATTGGGATACTTTAGCAGTGGCAGCTTACAAATTAGTATGGTAGACTGCTTGAAGATTTTTGTCTCATGAGTTTGCAATTTTCTCAGATGCTTTGCAACTATTTTGACCCTTATGGTAAAATATTACAGCCACTTGCCACAATCAGGCAACATACGAAACCTTATAGTAGGTGAATTTCACACCATTGCAGGGATGTCTGGTGTATTTGGCTGCATTGATGGGTCTCATATCCCTATTAGAAGCCCTGGAGGGAGCACAGCTGAACTACATCGATGTAGAAAGGAGTGTAATTGATATATGATTCGGTTTTGTATAATGTAGTTTATTTGAAAGTAGAGCAAGTGTAAGGGTAAATGGAAGCATTATTGGCTTGGTAAAAAAATTGCTTTAGATAATAGATTTTATTATCAAGGTTATTTTCCAATAAATTGTTTGGCTTTAAATAACACATTTTATTTCCTCCAAACATTATCACAGTACAACTTGAAACAGTATTTCAATTATAACAAAATTGAAAAGGGATTACACTGGCATGACTAAAGAAAAATATATCACAGTACAGTACAGTACAGTATATGTAAAATTATACCATTCAAACAGTATAGTATTTTGCTTGAAAATATAAATGCACATATTCATAAAGGCTTCAAAGTACTATACTGAAATAGTATGCAAGTGTCAGAGAAATCAATAAATAAAACGATTTTAGTTACTCAAAATAAGAACAAGCAGTAAAACCAAACTTATCACAGTACCTGTCCAGTGTACCGTATTGTATATAAATTAATAGTAATCATACTTAGTTTAAAATTGCAATTATCATTCTTGAATGATTTTAGAAGCAATGTACTGTACCTGTATTGAATTGTAATTAAAGTACAAAAGAAATATGATATAAAAGAAAGATTAAAATTCCCAAATAAGTATGTGTATATAATACTCAGTATCACAGTATATTGTATTTGAAATTCTAGCAAAAAATATGTTGAATTTGTTTGTTTTCACAAAAACTAAAAGAACAAAAATATCATAACAAATGTTAGAACATAAGAACATAGGTTTTCATATTCTCTATTAAGTGCAAAAAAAAGTAAACACAGAGAAATAGAAAAAATCACAGTTTATACATTAGCAATTATGACACTCATGGAAAATCTCCATAATTTAACTAAATTGACCACAGACAGAGGTGAAATTATGGATGCACTCTAGACATACTGTATGCCATTGGTCAACAACTCTAATGGTTGCTCAAAATACTTTATGCACAGATTAGGCTGATAATGTATTGTACATACTAGTGAAGGCCTTTAAAGCCTCCAATATAGCACCATTCATTCCTCGTGTTCACCTGCTTCCTTTTCTTCCCCCCGTGACTGGATGTTGATGCTGCTGTTACTGGTGATGGCACGGGTGATCTTGATGTTGAATCAGTTGATCCAAGTGTTCCTGCTGGTGCAGATGCTGGCATAATTGGTGGTGACTGCCTTCTCCTTGAAAAGAAAATTTCATCTCCACAACTCATGTTTCTGCTTTAATTTTTGCGCGCAGATCGACTTGGTTTGTTTACATTTATCCTGGATAAGGCGTACCGACCCTCTCGAATTGCGGCGTTCAGATTACTATATCGTAACTCGATGTTCGGGATTGATATTCGAGTTTGATGAATCCATTTGACGGGTTACTAAACAGTAACCCGATATTCGGGATTGCTCCTCGGACTTTCTGCCCTGAGTGTTTAAAAATTTGGCCGACTATCTCCATGAGGGGTCAGCTGATTGTGTTTATTTCTTGCCTCATCCACTATCTTCCGAAATTCTCTCTCTCTCTCTCTCTCTCTCTCTCTCCTCTGTTACGACGTCCAAGCACACAAAGTTCAGGAACTTTTCAACAAATTTTGTAGGTAAACTTGACTCATGTACCAAACAACCCCAATGAAGTATGATAAGTTAAACCTTTTTG